ACTCAAAAAAAAAAAAAAAAAAATGATGTGTTGAAAAGTATTCAGAAACATAGCAGCCGGGCACAGGCATGCTAGCTCACACCTATAATCCCAGCGCTAGGGGATGCTGAGGTGAGAGGATTTCCCGAGCCCAGGGGTTCGAGATCAGCCTGGGCAACACAGTGAGACCTCGTCTCTACAATAAATCAAAGAGTTAGCCGGGTGTGATGGTGCACCAGCTACTAGGGAGGCAGCTACTAGGGAGGCAGAGGCAGAAGGATGGCCTGAGCCCAGCAGGTTGAGGTTGTGGTAGCCAGGAGCATGCCACTGCACTCCAGCCTGGGTAACAGAGTGAGACCTTGACTCAAAAATATAAAGCAAAATGTGCAGTGAGCTGTGATCCTGCCTGGGTGACAGAATGAGACCTCGATTAAAAAACAACAGCCGGGCTCGGTGGCTCAGCCTGTAATCCCATGCCTTTGGGAGGCTGAGGCGAGTGGATTGCCTGAGCCCGCAGGTTCGAGACCCGCCCAGGCAACTTGGCGAGACCTCATCTTCTACAATAAATCAAAATAAGCCAGGCATGGTAGCGCGCGCCTGTAGTTTCAGCTACTTGGAAGACTGAGGCGGAAGGATCGCCGAAGTCCAGCAGGTCGAGACTGCGGTGGCCAGGAGCGGCCACTGCACTCCAGTCTGGGTGACAGAGTGAGATTCCAGCTCAAAACAACAACAACAACAACAACAAGAGCCAGGCTCGGTGGCTCAGCCTGTAATCCCACGCCTTTGGGAGGCTGAGGTGAGTGGACTGCCTGAGCCCGTGGGTTTGAGACCCTCCTGGGCAACTCAGCGAGACCTCATCTCTACAATAAATCAAAATGAGCCAGGCATGGTAGCGTGCGCCTGTAGTTCCAGCTACCCGGACGGCTGAGGCAGAAGGATCGCCGGAGCCCAGCAGGTGGAGGCTGCGGTGGCCGGGAGCAGCCACTGCACTCCAGTCTGGGTGACAGAGTGATACTCCAACTCAAAAAAAAAACCAAAAAAAACCCCAAGAGAAATAGCAGAATGTTTATACAAAATGCTCCATTCAGGGTATTAAATGTTACACCCTATTTTTGCACAACAAAAATAAAATTGAACGCACAATTGCATGTACACATGCAAATAGATATATGCTGAGGAAAAAAAAACCCTAAGAATTATCTACCAAAATGCTAATACTTATCTCTGGGTGGCGAGACTGCAAGTCATTTTTATTTTCTTCTTTTCATTTATCTGATTCCCTCAATTTTCTATACTTTACCCAGTTTAAGAGTAAAAATCTGTTAAATCTGTTTTAACCATAAGTAGTTGTCCCTAAAGCTTACTTTCCATTTTCGGTAGCTGATATTCATAACTCTTTCTTAATTTTAGCTCTACCTGGGAACCGGTTTAGGCAAAGGTGGGGGCAGGTTGGGTGATGGGAAAAAGCGAAATCATCTCTTCTGACTGCTAAAAGCCGCTTCCGGCAGACCATTCCTTGGAGACCAAGAGAGGTGATGGGGATCAAATTAGGATGGTCAGACCTTCAGGCAGACACACTGGAGGTCACCTGCCACGGGGCTGCTACCCCTTCTCCGCCTCTGAGATGCCTACAGCAGCTGACCAATTAGCCATGACTCGTGCTAAGGTTGGCCCAGCAGTGTCTCCTGCAGAGGCCAGCCAGATAACAAGCCCACAAGCGCAGCTGCAGCAATGGCCTCAAAGATGCCTCAGAACTTTCTAACAGCCTGTAAAAATCCTGTTTGGTTAAAAGAGCCCTCGGGGCAGACCTAAGACCACAGACAGAGGGCATGCAAGGGGGTTCCACCAGAAAGTCCATATCATGCTGCAGCAAGGCCCTGTTCCTAAGGGTTTATTTATTTATTCAAGATGTCTTCCTCTGTTGCCCAGGCTGGAGAGCAGTGGTGTGATAATAGTTCACTGCAGCCTTGTACTCCTGGGCTCAAGTGATCTTCCTGTCTCAGCCTCCTGAGTAACTGGTATTACTGGCACATGCCACCATGCCCAGATAATCTAAAGCCTTATAATCTAACATTTCTTCAGAGACACTCAGGCTTGAGACCACTGTCTCAGTTTCCACTAGGGATCAATGCGGGAAGGAGATGGTGTAGCCCTGCAACCCAGAGCTCTCTGTGGCCACAATTGTAATAAATGTTATAAATGAGGTTTTTTTGGACAGCAGAAACCAGTAGACTGGCTGTTAGAATGGGGTGGGGGGGGGGGAATGGAGGTGACACTCCCTGTAAGAACACTCACTATGATAAACTTTATAAAGACAATAGCTTGTCTCTACCTTGGCTGGGAGCAGTGGTTCACACCTGAAATCCCAGCACTTCGGGAGGCCGAGGTGGGAGGACTGCTTGAGCCCAGGAGTTAGAGACCAGCCTGGGCAGCATAGTGAGACCACGTCTCTACAAAAAAATACAAAAATTAGCGGGGGATGACTGCATGCACCTGTAGTCCCAGCTACTCGAGAGGCTGAGGTGGGAGAATCACCACGAGCCCAGAAGGTTGAGGCTACAGTGAGCCATAATTGTGTCACGCACTCTGGCCTAGGTGACAGAGCGAGATCCCAACTCAAAAAAAAAAAAAAAAGGGTACCTTGGTAGTGGGGGGGAGTGAAAGAAGGAACAAGTTTTACAGGAAGGCTTCTCCTGTCCAATCATTGTACACACCAAGAGGAAATGTCATGGAATTTGCAAGCATTTCCTTTGAAGAGGCCCTAAAATCCATCAACAAGATATGTCTAAAAAAGTACATGACGCCCACGGAAGTACTGAACAGAAAATCCACCCTTGTCGGCCATCTTGTAGAATCCATGTTCCCGTAGATTAAGGAGCGAGCTTTAGGTAGAGGCTGGACACTCAAGACCAGACCTTCCCAGCTTATTAAAACCTCTGAGACAACACCTCTTTAAACCCTATCCACATGAGCCTCCCAGCACATTTAACTGTGCTTCAACAGAAACCATCAGACGGTATTAATTACAGACATTTCTACTATTCATGGAGCAGGCATTGAACCAGCACTTGCTGACTGCAGGAAGCCCAAAGCCAAGACACAAAGCGATTGTCTTTCCATGAAGATTGTCTTTCCATGAATTTCATCAAGGCTTAGGAAGTCCACCCCACCCTCAAGCTTTATTTCCAGTGCTCGAAAGTGGAATTGTCCCCTTGACAGTCATTTCGTTGGGGATGGGGGCGGGGGCACAGAAAGGAGAGGACTGCAAAAACAAGAGTTGAGGAGCATACTTGCTACTTTCCCATTGCAGACTCAGCACATGCATTTCTAGAACTTTTATAATGACATATCTTAATAATCAATCTTTTGACTGCTTGCTGTGAACTGTGAATTTGAGCATCTCTGAGCTGTTTCAAACTGTTACATTATTTTATCTGGGCTCTGTTCTGCCAAAGCCTGAAGCAGCATAGACTAGAAGGATAAAAAAGAAAAGAAAAGAAAAAATCCTGGGGTCTCAGTGGAACTCAGGATTCCTGCTCTGCTGCAAAAAGGCGAACCGCTTTTAGCTGGGACTTTGCATGCCTACTTGTCTTGCCTGAAGCCCACTATAATCTGGCTATCATCCTGGGTTATGTATTTTGGGTGTATTTAAGACAAAGGACAATAAAACACGTAGCTTGCAGATAAAACACATGTAGGGGTAAGGCAAGGAGAAATGAAACATGACAGCCGGCCTTTCCCTGGCTGACTTCTAGGGTCCGAGGATAGCCTCGGGCACGACAACATTATCTTCCCTATTATGCCGATACAGCAAAAAGCCCTTTTCTCAATGACGCTCCTCTCTTAAATTATCCCATATAAATCTTGGAACAACACAGAAAAGCACAAGCTCATCAGACTGACACATGTAATTTGAAAATAACACGTAGAATAAATTCACTCACACAAAAATGAAAGTAGGGGATGGACCGGGGACATTGATGGATGATTTAGTTCTATTACAGCAAAATAGATGGTACCACAAAAAGGTATGGTGGGGTGTAAGAAGGTCAACACATATATAGGTTTCCTATTTAACCCCTGGGGAGGGATTGAAGACTTGGAGAGCAGCAAGGGATGGAAGCACTTTGCCCCAAATATCTCTTTTTTTTTTTTTGAGTCAGGGTCTCACTGTCACCCAGGCTGGAGGGCAGTGGTGCAATCCTGGCTCACCACAGCCTCGACATCCTGAACTCAGGCAATCCTTCCGCTTCAGCCTCCCAAGTAGCTGGGACTACAGGCACCTGCCACCATGCCCAGCTAATTTTATTGATCTTTTTTGTAGAGATGAGGTCTCACTATGTGGCCCAGGCTGGTCTTGAATTCCTGGGCTCAAGTAATTCTCCCTCCTTGGCCTTCCAAAGCTCTGGGATTACAGGCATGAGCCACTGTACCCAGCCCCCAAATATTTTTTGACAAAGATTTTTCCCACTGTAATGGATACTAGATGTTTCTTCCTGTTGATACTAAGAGATCTCAAATCCAGATTGAGACTTATCTTGGTTAATAATACTTAGTATCAGTATCAAGATGGGCAAGAGGATGGGGAAATAAATTTATACATGGTGGGAAGACAGTAAACTGGTAAAACCACTTAGGAAGCAGTTGGCATGCCCCTCCCCCATGACCCAGAGCCCCCAGTCCTAAGTTTACATTCTTGAGTAACTCTTCCTGTGTATTCAGGAGGTACATAAAGAATGTGCATGGCCACATCAAAGGGAGAGAGGAAGAGAGGGAGGGAGGGAGGGGAAAAAAGGAAGAAGGAAAAGAAAAGGGAGGGAGGGTGGAGAAGGGATAAAGAAAAAAGAGAAAATAACCCAAATATGTATTAACAGAAGAACTGGCTGATGAATTGTGGTCTATCACAACTGACAGGTACATGCATCAAAATGTATAAATCTTGGAAACATAGTATTAAGTAAAAAAGCAGTTTAAGAATTATATATAATAGGATTTTAATCATGTAAAGGTCAGCAGTAAGCCCACCTAAATCCACCGCTTAAGAATATATCCATAAATAGCAAAACTATAAGGCAAGCAAGGGCGGATCAACAAGAAGACAGGACAGTGGCTACTTCTGGGCCCCGGGGGTGGGGTGGGCTTTAATCTGGGAGGGACATGCAGGGCGTCACAGCACTGGCAATGTTCATTTCCTGAAGTGGGGTGGTAGGCTTGCAGCAGCTCACTTTATGGCTATGCTTTGGAACTGACAAACATATCACATATTTCACATGTGCCAACGATTATGTGACAAAAGAGGAGACTCGTTGGACTCACGCTGCATCTGCAGTTCAAATGCTCAGCTCCCCGTACCAGGGTTTGAACTGGCTTTCCTTCCAGGTTCTCCCGTCTCCTCACCATACCCAGTCCTTTTGTTAAGCTTCTTAGCAACAGGCTCAGTCACGCCACAACCCTCTTTTAAACAATCAATGGGTACCCACTGCTTCACAAATGAAGCCAAAAATAACGGCACTCCACTGCTTTGCCAATGTGTAACCTGCCACTCAAAACTCCAGCTTTACAGACACACGCAGACTTTCTGATCTCATTGCTTTTGTTTCCGCAATCCCCTTCACCCTAAATGCTGTTCCCTGTGTGGCTAAAGTGGAAACTCTATCCATCCTTCAAGGCCACACTATCCACTTCCTCTACCGTGGAAGGCTGTCCTAGGTTCCCCACACCTCCTCAGAATCCTTGGTGATATTTACCTGCTGTTCTTGGCCCTGGAGTGACAGCTGGTCCCCCTATTCACCTCCATTCATTCACTCAATGCACTTCCCAGGGGCCCCGTGTGCTGGGGTACAAGTGAAGGGGCCATCACTCATAAAGAACGAGCGTGGTCCATGGAAGAGCAGAAGGAAGGAAAGAGGTAGGTAGGATTCCTGGGCAGCAGGAAAGCAGGTACAAGGCTCAAGGATCTGCCCGCATTCTTTTGGGCCACGGGAGAGACTGCATGCCAGAGAGATGAGGCAGATTTCCCCAAGCTCCACTTGAGGCCTCCCTGGAAGTTTGTGCCCAGGTATCTGGGATGGCAGTGTCCTCAGTAAAACCTGCTGAGCTGAATCAAAACTTGCAAACACTACAGGACACACTTCAGTTCCCCTCCACCCCCCAAAAATCCCACATTATGGCTGAGTATTATATTCTAAGAAAGAGAGCAAGCCTCAAAAATCTGAATTCTTCTAGCCCGTCACAGCACATTTTTAAATAGACTAGCTGAAGTGCCTCGTGACGTTAAATTCAAAAGTAGGCAAGAAAGCTAAGCTATTAACAAACACTCTCTTTCTTTTATTTATATGTTTATTTGGTCTCCCTCTGCTGCCCAGGCTGAAGTGCAGTGGAACGATCACGGCTCACTGTAGCCTCAAACTCCTGGGCTCACGTGATCCTCCAGCCTCAGCCTCCCTCATAGCTGGGACTACAGATGGGTACTACCACGCCAGGCTAATTTTCCTATTTTTTCTAGACACAAGGTCTCACTTTGTTGCCCAGGTTGGTCTCGAAAGCCTCAAGCAATCCTCCTGTCTCAGCCTCCCAGAGTGCTGGGATTACTGGTGTCAGACACTGCACCTAGAATCTATGAGAAAAACAGTATCAGACGTCTTGGCAGGGGGTGTGCTGGGGAGTGTGTACGAGTGTGCTCTCCCTTTGGGAAAACCCTACTTATAAACACTTTGATATCTGGACATTTACTTCACCCAAAGACATTTGTGGGGAGCAGAGGGTGAGAAGTTGGGAGGCTGAGAATGAGTTAAAGTCAAATTTGGGAGTTTTATAAACTGGAATTCACTTGGAAAACAAGATAAAGCATCCCCACAATTGTAAGGTATATTTACAATTGGGAAACAGTAATTTCCTGAAGAAAAAAAAGTTCTTTTCAATTGTGCAAAGTGAGGCCACAGAGAACCAACTTTCACAGGATGATAATAACAAACATTTGTATTCGGTGCTTTTTCCACTGGGCTTATTTCCCCTGTGTTCCCTAAGATTCTTGCTTCCTGAGATGCTATCTGTCGGTTGCGTGTGCAGCCATGGACTAAAAGAGAAAATGCCATTCTTTTGGACTTATAATTTAATTTTTAATTAAGGTTCAAATCAGAGTGTGATCGATGCTAGGTCTGTTCTAATGTCTCCGAGGCAGTGAACCAAGGGCATATATGCTGATTTGCATATCTTTTTAAGTTATTACTGAAATGCCCAGATCATTTGAGCAATAAGCCAGCCAAGAAAATGTGTCCCGAGGGAAAACGAAGACGGAGGGCTAGAACTGACAGAAGGCAAAAAAATGAAATCAAGTGGAACACAGAGCTGTGTCTCCTGGCGAAATCAACAAGTAGTCACACATAGGGTGTTTATGAGTCCTCAGGGGCCATGTGTCATCCCACACGGGACAAGATGAGGTTTTCGACTCCCCCAGAAGGTTAGGAATGGGGGGGCATCTCCATGGTTTGAGGCCAGCCCGGGCAACTTGGCAAGACCTCACCTCTACAACAAGCCAAAAAATTAGCCAGGTGTGGTAGTGTGTGGCTGTAGTTCCAGCTCCTTGGAAGGCTGAGGTGTTAGGATCAACTGAGCCCAGCAGGTTGAGGCTACGGTGCCTATGAGTGTGCCACTGCACTCCAGCCTGGGTGACAGTGAGACTTTGACTCAAAAAAAAAAAGAAACGGGGCATGTGATTATGACACTGAACACTGATGAGTAATTTCCAGGAATCCCAGGCTCCCAGGCATGGCAGATGGAACAAAATATCCATGGAAGGACAAGGCCTGACCTAGGAACCAGGTGGACCTCCTGGATTTCCTATGGCCTGGAAGTTAGAAGCAGAGGTCTCCCCTAAGATCCCCTGTGCTGTCTCCAGACACTAAAACCAAGAAGAACAAGCTTAGAGGAAAGAGAAGTGTCTCTCAATTTGATGAATGTGGACACATCCCTGGAGAACTAATTTTTGTGTATAATTAAACATGAAAATACTATGTTTTCCAATCAACAGCCAATCAGTCCATGATACTCAGAATATCATTACTGGGAAGCTGGAGTTCCCAGCAAATTGTTTTTTTAGTTGCAGTTTTGAGACTCTGTCCCATAAGACTACATCAAATGAAAGTTAAGGGCTGGGAAAGCTTACTCCCGCGTGGGTCCCAAGCTTACCATGAGCCCTCCAGGTAGGCGTTGAGGCCTTTGCGGATGACGTGGCCCAAGTAGCCATTTTTCTCAGCTACATGCTTTGCCCAACTGAAAAGAAAAGGAAAGAGAAAATATGCACACCATGGCAAATTTCATAATCACTTTTTTCTTCACATGATCCCAATAAATCCCACTTGGGGAATATTTTGCTTGTTAGAATTTTTATGGAGCAACAAACCAGAACTGAATGTTAAGAAGGTAAAGAAAATGCATTCTGAGAGCATTTCACTTTGATGCCCTTTCTTATGAATGCTCAGGAGTTGACTTTTATGGAAACAAAGACATGTAAGGTACAACATGAAAAATATCCACCATTATGGAAAAATAGAACCTTCCATGGCATTCTAGTACGCTCTGTATTAATACATGTTTTCTGATTTACTATTAGGTCTCCCTCCTTTATATCTGTCCCCTAATTTATCCTGGGGGGATTTATGAGTAATGAAATAGCTTGTTGTAATCTTTAGACTTGCAACCATGAAAAGAACAGTATAGTATACTATTAATAAATAGTATAAAATATTATTATTTAATAGCGTGTAAGATGTGTAACTAATAAGCTAGAACAAGGGGGAAACAGAAACATTTTTTAATATAAAGGAAGGAAAAGAGGGAAAAAAAGGCACACAAGAATCGCAGACAGGACAAATAGAAAATAAGTAATAAAAGGGTAGATTTAAAACCAAACATATCCCTAATAATATTAAATGTAAATGGACTAAATATACCAATTAAAAGCTAAAACTGTCCAATTGAATTTTGAAAGATACAAAAACCCAATTATATGCTGCTTACAAGAGACATACTGAAATGAAAGGATGGAGAAAGCTTGAAAATAAAAGGATGGAAAAAGATAAAATAATAAAATCTGGTATAACTACATGAACATCAGACAAAATAGACTTTAAAGCAGGGCCACCCACAGAGATAAAGAGAAGACTGTAAAGTGATATGAGGGCCAACGAGAAAGGCAAGATAATTCTACATCTGTAGGACTCAATGACATAGATTCAAGATATATAATACAAAATTGACAGAACTAAAGGAGAGATAGATCAGTCTGCACACATAGTGGGAGATTTTAACACATGTCTTTCAATAACTGATGTAATGAGCACAAAAATAATTGCCAGAAAGGATAGTGAAGATTTGAGCAATGTAATTAACAAGCCTGATGTAATTCATATGTATGTAGACACTGTACCCATCAAGTTCAGAAAACACTCTTTTTTTTTTGAGTTGGAGTCTCACTCTGTCATCCAGGCTGGAGTGCAGTGGCATGCTCACGGCCACCGCAGCCTCGACCTGCTGGGCTCAGGTGATCCTTCCTCCTCAGCCTTCCAAGTAGCTGGAACTACAGGCGTGTGCCACCACGCCCAGCTAATTGTTTGATTTATTGCGGAACTGAGGTCTCGTCAAGCTGCCCACGCTGGTCTCCAACCCCTGGACTCAGACGATCCTCTTGCCTCAGCCTCTCAAAGTGCTGGCTTGAGCCACTGTGCCCAGTCAGATAATACTCTTTTCTAGAGACCATAAGTATATACCAAAATTGATCACCTACTAGTCATAAAGCAAGCCTCAACATATTTCAAAGGGCTGAAGTCATTAAGAATATACTCTCTGATCACAGTGGAATTAAGCTAGAAATAATAAAAGGATAACAGAAAATCCATGAAACATGAATATTCATGGCAAATATCCTAAATAATAAAAAAAGTTTCAAGTCAGTCTAAGTCAAGTTTTATCACTGAGCTGAGGTCAAGTTGAGTTAGATCCCAAATGTCTTATGAAAAACCACCTTTTTGAGAGGCTATTTATATTTGAGCCGGAGTCTTACTCTGTAGCCCATAGCTTGTGGCACAATCACAGCTCACCGCAGCAGCCTCGACCTCCTGGGCTCAAGTGAGCCTTCTACCTCAGCCTCCTGAGTAGCTGGGACTACAAACATGCACCATCACACCTGGCTAATTTTTTGATTTTGTGTAGAGACAAGGTCTTGCTATATTGCCCAGACTGGTTTCAATCTCCTAGGCTCAAGCAATCCTCCAGTCTCAGCTTCCCAGAGTGCTGGGATTACCCATGTAAGCCACCATGTCCAGTGGAGATAGTAAATATTTTCAGTTTTGTGGGTCACATATGGTCTCTGTTGCACATTCTTCTTGTTTTCGAGACCTCATCTCTACAATAAATCAAAAAAATCAGCCGGGTGTGGTAGCGCATGCCTGTAATTCCGGCTACTTGGAAGGTGAGGAGGAAGGATCACCGGAGCCCAGCAGGTCGAGGCTGCGGTGGCCGGAAGCGGCCACTGCACTCCAGTCTGGGTGACAGAGTAAGACTCCAACTCAAAAAAAAAAAAAAAAAAAATGAAGCCAGATGCAATGGCTCATGCCTGTAATCCCAGTACTTTGGGAAGCGGAGGTAAGAGGATTGTCTGATCCCAGGGTTTTGAGACCAGCCTGGGCAACCTGGTGAGACCTCGTCTCTATCAAAAAATTATCTGGTGTTGTGGCACATGCCTGTAATTCCGGCTACTTGGAAGGCTAACATGGAAGGACTGCCTGAGCCCAGCAGGTCGAGGCTGCAGTAGCCATGGGTATGCCACCTGCACTCCAGCTTGGGTGGCAGACTGAGACTCCAACTCAAAAAATATATATAAAAAGCCTTTTTAGCTCTCGGAGTCATATAAAACAGGCACCAGGCTATATTTCATCTACAGACAATAGTTTGACTCCTGTAGAACATTTTCAGATGTACAGGACCTCAAAAATGTGCTTTCTATTCTCCGTTCTTTAGGAAGCTACTGTAGGATGTACTCTCCTGAAATGCAGGAGCAGACCAAGAAGGAGAAAGAAAAGGGTCCAGCGAAGGGGAAAACCAAAACAGATGGAGATGGAGGGAGAGGGAACCCCCACGATGATGACAAAGCTGATCTCAGGACGACAGCACTGTACTGAACCAAGACTCCAGCACAGAAATCTCCAAGAAGATGAAATGAACAGAACCCCTAGATGGGCCTGGACACAGAAATGAGATTTAGATGCTAGAGGAGAATTTGGAGAAAATAAGCACATCAACAGCTAAGCAAATCAACAACAGTAAAAAATAGGATTCCACAGAAAAGAAAAAGTTATGAAAGAAAGAAAACAAAATCACAGTATACTATATGGCTCAGCTGTGAAGAGTATTTACATGGTTATAGTAATGTAAACCCTGATATTAATCTAACCAAAGTGATGAGCCAAAATTCTTAGAAACAGGAAGGACAGCAGGAAGTGTGAATGTGTGCTGTCATGGGAAGTGGCAGAGGGACAGGGAACAATATCTTGATCTTCCTCCTTGGGACACCATCAGATAATGCCTATGATGAAAATACCAAGCAACAGTGGTATAAACATGTTATTTAGAGACGGAGGGAGATAAGAAAGAAATAATTAAAAGATTGAAAATGATTTATTCTGGAAAGCAGGAAATAAAGTCTAGGGGTAAAGGAGGGTGAAATTGGCAGGAATTCACCATTTCTTCCTTGTCAAATTATTTTTTAATTTTTAATTAAATACTTAAAGCTTTTTTGTCTTGTCAAATTATTTGGCTTTTTAAAACTATATGCATATACTGTTAAAAATGAAAACTCAATTTTATTTTATTATTATTTTTGAATTGGAGTCTCACTCTGTCACCCAGGTTGGAGGGCAGTGCCACACTCCCGGCCCCCATAGCCTCGACCTGTTGGGCTCAGACAATCCTTCCACCTCAGCCTTCCAAGTAGCTGGAACTACAGGCACGCGCCACCATGCCCGGCTAATTTTTTAATTTATTATAGAGATGAGGTCTCACCAAGTTGCCTAGGCTGGTCTCAAACCTGCGGGCTCAGGCAATCCTCTCACCTCGGCTTCCCAAAGTGCTGGGATTATAGGCATGAGCCACCACACCCGGTCAAAAACTCAATTTTTTTTTTTTTTTTTTTGAGTTGAAGT